AAAAACAATCCTAGCTAACTCAGCTCGCTGTGCTCCTGAACGGCGTAATTTCGCCGTAACGCTGGGAGAAATCGAAGAGTTGCTCAAATGCGCATGCGTTGGCACATAAAACGACTTCCAGACAAGGCTTACCACAGCGCAGCCGTCCTTTTTATTAATTACACTGCGGTTTAGTTGTATCATGAAACAAGCCAGGGAGCAAACAAAAACACTGTGGTACTACTGAAAGCATGTATTTTCCGTATTTGAATAATATTTATGACTCTAGTGCGCCTGAGATTATACGACAAGATCAACTGAAACCAACTTAAATAACTATAAAATTACCAGACGGCCCTACCTCGACGTAAAAAGAGGGGTGTTCATCATCACAAGGCTACAGACAACGTTTTAAAGTCAACAGAGGGCGGGCAAAAATTCGCATTCCAGTCCACACTGATGCCCGCGATTGCTGCGAGCACGGCTGCATGATCTACTGCCCTCTTGCGGTGAAAAACTTGTTCTGCGGTGTAGGAATGTGGGTGCTGTGTTTAATTTGCGTTGGCAAATCATACTATGGACATCTAACAGAAAAGAACGGCGCAATAACAGTGGACGCTCATTGTTAGTGCATTGTGTTTCTCTTGTTAGATGTTCGTGGTGTCAACTGATGGGCTTTTGTTGAAAACATGCGTGAACCGTACCATGCCCGTTAAAGTTTACTTCTACTGTTTGAGAGGGAGCGTCTGAAGGTCGATGTTTCCTAGTACAGAGAAAAGAGATGGATTTCACTACCGGCGATTGGAACTTGTAATTAATACGTAATAACGACGGAAGAACCCTCGATACAAAAGTGATGGAGGAGTGTAGTTGGTGTCGGGTTACAGCCATTCCACGCTTTTGTCGGATGATCTTGGCTGCGTGCTGGAATCAGATATTGATAATATTTCACAAGAAAGTGACGTCTGATTAAATTAGCGTTTGATTTATTGATTGCCCGTCTGGTTTAAGACAAGTTCATTCGGTGTCGTCCAATAGCGTAAAAGGCATGGGTAGCATGCACGATCCACGGAAACCTTGCTTGATTAGTTTTGCCAAATGCGCAGGCAGACTCTTTGCAGACGGACAAGATTAAAATGGGTAACATCTAGCGGCTCTCGACTCATCACAGTTGTGCTAAGAGTTTCTGTGCAGTGTGTCTCCATCACATCCATTAATTTTTAACATTGGAGACAAACGCCTGGGGGTATGCGTTCACAGAACTTAAAACTGTAGCTTTCTTGAGCCATTGACTATTAAATCGGGACGCAGTGCATCTCTAGCGAAAAATGGACGAAAGAGTGGTGTTTAGGCTATCATTTCAAGAGTACTTAGGGTAGGAAACACAGAGGGGAAAGTCACCGAATGTTTACAATCGAAAGTGAAATCTGCTTCAGGGAAAAGCCTATACTCTTCAAATCAAAGTTCTGTCTAAGGACGCTGACTTACGACTAAATTATGACGTTAAAGAGCAGCAACTGAGGCTCCTATCCATTATCTAAGAATCAAAATGAAAATTCTTCTCTGCTCGCATTCATCTCAAACTTCAAGTTCTGCTGCACCACAGAGGGAGGGGAAATTTACATTAGTCAAGATGACCTCAAAAACGTTCGAACTAAAGTAAAAAGTGTTACACCTACAATACAATTTACCTGTTTATATCATATGGAAGCACCCACGTTCACAAATGCAGTCTGTTGTCTGGATAAAGTCTTTGGGGAAAAACTGCTGATTATGAATTAAAAGCATGAAGGCTGTCGGAGGCTATTACTATCATTTTGTACACGCATGATGAAAAACTGATAGTCACACACTTTGCATCTGTTTACAATAGAGTATCACCTTACTCGGTGTATCATGGTATGTTTATTTCAATTAGGGCCAGTGACTAGATGGATTTATTGTTATGTTTGAAACGCAGCCCTTGACGTTTTAGTAGTCAAGTGGTCAAAATAATTTACACAGTCCATACCACATTGAGCATGTGGCCACTGCACTTTGCATTTCTGCCTCGCATTGTTGAGCATGTAGCTAAGCCAACACGAAACAGACTTCAGTTTTCTCCTCAGCCAAACTTTCAAGTTAAACTAATGCGCCAAGTGACTACGCGAGAGCGTGTCATGATTATCTGCTTGTTATCATTCAAGACAATGCACAGAGATAATGAGGACATTTGCACGGTGGACACAAAATGGATCTAAAATTGTGATGTATATTGTGCGATGCGATGTGCATTTCGTCAAAGGATTTTGCAACACTCACCTCAATATTTCCCATTTGTACATGCCACGATTACACAATCGGGCAAGTTCGGGCACTAACCGAAGTTCGTCCACCAATAAAGGGCTTCATACCCATTCGCATGCGCAATACAGTTCGTTAAATAATCGAGCCATTTCGCGAACTCCCTTTATCATCCACATTTTTGCTGTTGGTTGCATCTTCCATGCGTTCATGGCGTCTTCTCTCCGTTACGTTCACCTCAATGATTCCCTGTGTACTTAATTACACAAACTGCTGCTGGTAACTAGCAATTGGCCCCAGGGCCTTGTTCAAATGGGTCGAAAAATTAAGTAGTCCCACCATCCACCGTTTAGGTGATGTCAGTCGAACAGTGGTAAACCAGGCTGCTTAGCCAATAAAGAAAGCGGCAATAGAGAGGGTGGGACCGGGTGCCCTTCTGCTCGCTATTAAATCTTGAGTGCGATAACCGCCACGCAAGTCAGTCATGCGATCGACATCTGCCTTAAGTACATTGCCCTAAAGCGGTTGACACGATCCATGGTAAATTCACGCTTGGAGAGCGCCCTCTCCCCCTCGTCGTTCGCAATTCTTTTTTCTTTCTGTTTTTTTTCTACCGCGATTCAACCTTTCTAATAGGACTTATTCAATTATTTATTTCTGGAATTTAAGTATTGAAGAATAAGTTTGCTGCTCCACATATCAGATTTTGGACTGACGAAGAGTAGATTCCATGGCTGCAACACAGCATTCAACTAGACGAACATTCTGTGTCATTTCTAATTACTATGACGTTCCCTCTTCGCATACTGCAAGCTGTCCACAAAACACTGAACTAAACATTCACTTTTCATTACACTTTGGGATAGACCAAGCATAAGGCCTGTTGGGTATTGAAGAGGGATACTGTATAAGGAATCTTCCTGAAAATCACATCCCCCGGGCTCCAATTTTGTCCTTTGTTAACTGAATACATAACAGTCCCAAGATAGAATAGTTAAATCACCATGGTTAATGTAATGGGTAATTTTGTTCGCAGTCTGAAGGAACTTTAGGAATTAGGAATTAAGGAACTTTTTTTTCATGTCCGGCACCTAATAATGAGGCATCTCTTCAAATGCATTATTTAGGACAAGACGTTATGGATGAGACTTGGGCAGATCCTTATTCAGGTATTTTTGAAATTAGCAATTTTACAAATTATTGTAAAGTTCACTTCACGAACGATTTTTTTATGTTATACTGTTCAAAATATTTCTGGAATATCGCATAATGACATACAGTATAATTCCCATCAAGGCCTCGATGTGCAGTGCGAGTCGGTGTCATGATAACCTGCAGTGCGGGCCCTTGGCTGTAGGGAACCCATTACTGCTTATCTACCTCAATAAGATGTTCATGTACGAATACAGCTCCGTGTAGGCCGAGTACCAGTGAAGTTTAATTGTAGTCATAATTTTCAATGTGCGCACCTGCTGGGATTAGGTAAGAAAAATGTAGTCGCTTCGGTGTTGATGCAACGAGGCGACGACGCTTGGATTGCTTTCCCCAGATTACCTCACTGCGTTTGAAAACATACCAAATCTGTCTGATATCTGAACCGTTCAAAATCCGCCTGCCTAGAAACGCTTCACACAGCATATCAGCAAAAAATTTGGCCATTTTGGTTGACAAGTTCATATTCTGCACAACGACGATCTTAATGTCAGCTATCATTTCGGTATAACCGTCACAAGTGGCGGTCCAGCTTCACTCAAATGACCCAGTGGCAGATAAGTGTAACTTTAAACCAAGCAACAGGCAAACAAAACTCTCCGAATTTGCCTGACCAACTGACTTGCCGATCAACCGATAGACAAAAAATAACCAAGGGGTGTAGTATCGGGCCAAACAAGTTGGTGATCAATTTGATTGCAAATATTTTGTGACTGAAATCCGATCAAGAAAACCCAAACAAGAGAACAATTATACAAAGAAATGCAAAATTAACCGGGTATAAAACTAGCCAGCCAACTATATCATCAAACAACGAGACAGCGACAAACTGACCTGCAAACCCACTTCATACAAATCGATAATCGTGACGACCAACCAACCGTGTCAGTCCAGTCAGCTACCGACTCAAGTGATGAATTCTGTAAACTGTCATCAGTTTTGTATTCTTTCAATGGAAGCAGGTCTGCCGGCGCTCCCCCCGGACGGCTGCTCTCCAAGGGAGCTGGGGGATAGCCACCAAATGCGATCTCCCACTCAATGTTGGCCCATCCAAATTTCACGGACTACCAATCACCGAAATATCCCCCACGGCATTCCCTGAAATACACTGAGATGGCGCTATAAGGGATTGATATACGACTGATTTATGCTTTCGGCTACGTTCCTCTTTATTCAGACTCAAATTCACACATCAGGCGATGTTTAAATTACAGAAAGCAATTTCCAATGGAAAAGGTTAAGGCTGACATCAAAATAATGTCGATGACACTTCACAGTTACGCAGTAGTAACTCAAAAATGCAGTATCCAGATTATTTTGTATGTTCAAGAACACAACACCTGTGAACATCAGTTTATGTAGTTTCATTACCGGTAGTAAATCACGCGCTGATCTTGTCTGTTGGGAACAAAAATTGGGCGTTGATACTATCTACAATATTAATGTTATGCCATTAATGATCTGTCTCTTTCCTCATACATAAATGACCGACATTATGCTATTTCTCAGAAGTTAAAGTGACTTACCATGTCTTGCGTTGGATCTGCTCACGTGGTCTCTGATAGCTCGCTTGGCCTGTTCTACTGTCATAGTGGAGCCGTATGGTTCCATTGGCCAACTGGTGGCTGGACAAAAAGAAAACAATGGAATATTAACAACTGGTCGTAGAAGCCAATCATCATGAGCCCCGAGCGGGATCAAAATAAGGCGCAATTTTCCCAGCAACGGCGGCACCTTTCGTTGGAACTGCGCTCTGGCGGTTCCCAAACAAATATGAAATGCACGCGTTACGGTCTCGGCACTACCATCAAAACAGCTCTCCCGACCAACATGGCTCTTTTCAACCAATGAGGGGTGCTTCCGCTCAAGGCAGAAAGTGAATTATACTTAAGCCGCTCTGAGTTGGGATCATGACAATGGTTCAAAATTGAAGAAGGAAAACGTGAACTGAGTGGAAAACTAAATTCATGATGCCGAATCCCAAGAACAATAATTCACAACCACAAGGTCAAAAATAACCTCAATTGACGCGAGAGACAAAATCAGAATGCCCAATTCTATGACGAGAGAAAATAGCAATGCAGGAAAATGACGTGCGAACGACAATGTTTCTGCAACTGAGAAACACTGCCAGAGATTGAAACAGTATCATGTTTTGTCAGGGCAGGAAAAAATGAAACGAGAGATGGGAGAAGGAAACCCCGACGTATACGCGTATAATGAGCTAAAAAGCGACCGTCAACAATCATGAGCAGCCAATTATTTACATTTCGTCATTCAGTCGGTATACTGCTATCCAGCGCACACACTTATTTTCGGGCGAAATGCGCTAAAGATACACTTCTCGCTTCCCGTCAATATTGCCCCATCGACTATTTTCGGTACAAGTGCCCGGTTGCGTGGGCTGAAGTGTCGTATACTCGAGAAAGGAAAGTCAACATCCCCTCCCCTGAATGAATGACAGTGGAGACTTCACTGGGCCTATACGCCACATGCACCACCACTCGAATGCGTCTCGGCCGGCGATGCCCAATTGCCTATAAGAGCAAAGTTCGACGCGCTCGAGGGTTCACCATATCAAACAAGCGCTTGCTTAGTTGGTGGAGTGCCAAGTCGCTCTAAACCGAAATCAGAAAAGAGCTGCGAGCGGCTAGATGCGGGGGCCTCACAAACTACCTCATCCGTCAGACAGCGATTTCCCTTTTTACGCGACGTCATCGTAGCGAGCCGACAGGTGATGGGTGATGTCTTCATTCATTATGGCCAGAAGTCATTCCTTATGAATTTAAGCCTTAGCTGTGGTATTAGCATTGCTTTCCCTGAAAAGCAACAGAGCCATGCAAGCGAACAAACTGACCCCAACAGGCGAAGTCCCGCCACGTAGTCTCCCCTCGCCGTTTCAAGGTCCAATTAATCTTCATCAGTACAATTATTTAACTTAACCGCTTCTGGTGGCCACTTTAGCCGTCTGACGTAATGTTCACATCGCTTATCACAGTTTATTATAAAACAAACTTCAAGAAACTTTCTGATTACAACAGTTAATCAGCGAGCTTGTTAAACTTTGGCAAATGCGTTATTTGCAGTCACAAACTTAGTGTGCTCAGCAATAAACTTGTACTGCCAACCAAGGCCGAGCAAAAAAAAGGTGTGTCTTGTTCGGTTTTTTTAAACGGGAGCAGGAAGGTCCCCCTAGAAGGCAACTGAATTTCCAAGATGGCGGACGGATTCTTTAGACTTCTTAGAATGACAAGAACGGCCAGAGCACATAAGAAAGGAACAGTGTTAAACAAGCAGAGTGACAAAACAAGACAGTAGGCAAACTTAAAAATGATCAAACGACATTCCCTGCGGTCCCACGCAGTTGAGCTGATGTTCCGGATGTCAGGATGACGTCCGACCTGATGGAAGGCGGTGCATGCAATGGCACTCCATCTAAATGGAGATTTGACCAATCACAGCTTGGTGAGAGATGACGCTGCATGATTTTAGGAGCCCATGGGGCATGCATTTTGCATGAAGACGGTCATCCATGATGCGGCATACTGCCCTGCAGAGATTGCTCGTCCCGGCTGACCGGTCCCATCCCGCCTTGCGTTGGTCATGAAAGGTCCCTGCTGTTGTATTCACGGCGGCCTCTTCACAGTAAGTGACACTTTAATTCTGATTTGATTCGTTTTGCCAAAGCCGCGCGCAAAACGAAGGTAAGAAATTACATTATTCATGATTCAGACTTGCAAATTCCTGAACCATTCTCAATAGAGAAGAGGATTTCTCCCCTTCCTCGGATGTCACTTCCCAGAGGTGAATACTGTTAAAAAAATTCCAGCACTTGTTCTGAATGGTTCGCTATAATTATCGTTATGTGAGTTTTGGTAATTCGATGGCCTGTATCTAAGATGGCCACTTCCAACGGTGTAGATCGACCCCGATATTCCTTGATCATTTTCACGGCTGCAGCGGCAAGGGGTGATGAATAATGCATGCCAGCTGTGGAGAGAGATGCGAATGACGCGGGGAGAGAGAGAGAGAAAGAACTCGTGCACGCAATGCTGGTTAGGCAGCCGTTCGGTCTAGCCTGGTCTTGGACACGACAACCGGTGAATGTTTCATGACCGCAGACATAACAACCGACAAAAGGACATCTTAAATAAGCCTACGTTCATGACAAATTGTTTTTTATTCACTTGAATAATCAGAGAAAAACGACTGTCTATGTCTACTACGCAACGATGAACGGAACCTGTCAACGGAGATGCACACAACATTAAGATCGACAGATATGGAAATCAAATTCGAATTAACTTTTCGCTGTCCAGTCACATTTCATCCGAATCCTTTTTTAACAGATCTTGGAGGCTCGTTGGATACAAATAAAGCTTCGAAAACGGATTGCGTCAAGTTCAGATAGCAGCGACACTTTACATCTGGACAAACACTTGATGTCCACGATTTTGGCGCTATCTGCGTCGTGTTCTCGTTCTCCCATGTCCCCTCAAAAGAACTGACGCGCGGAGCGTCGAGAATCGCGTATTTACACAGCATGCACCGCGGGTCATTTAACAACGCATCCACAGGGGCACCTCGACTCACTTATCCAGGCTCACCATGATCCGATTTCAACATTACTGGTGGTCCTCCGGGATCAGCTATGTATTTGGACTAATTTCTTTTCGATTTCAGCGCCCCTCTGGCAGCTTCTAAGACAAAGACCAAGTACATAGCAAGGAATGCCCCGTGACGAACGGAGACAGATTGTTCTATCTTTGGAGATTCAAAACGGCTGTATTTTGATATCTCGCCAAACAATTCAATTCCGGTGGTAACTGTCCCCCTTCATCCACTTCACTTGTTTTCATAAGCCACTTACTCTATGGCAGTACCAAGGGACACACATTTGAAAATGGAAATTCTAAAGTTGCAGCAATTTTAAGAAGGTGAGAAAGGAAAAAATGGGAAGTGATTCGTGTTTCAAACTTTGGTTGTAAAAATATACTCGCATTTTACGTTTTTCATATTTTTTTTCAAAAATGTTCATGTTACTTTTGATAACATTTTGGCTTTGCATGGCTTTGCACCAGGTTATATCTCAGAATTACTAATACCTAAATCCCAGTTACATAGGTACACTCTTCGTGGCTCACAGGAGAGGATGATCCTTAGTCATCCCTATCGCAGAATTAAGGCAACATTTGGAGACCGTGCATATATTTGTGCTGCTCCTGGCTTTGAAACAACCTGCCTTTTCATGTAAGAAATGCTAAATCTGTCGACACATCCAAGATTGTTCTAAAAACGCCTCTCTTTTTTGAAACTTTTTCCAACACCTGATTTTCCTATCTGCTAGTGATGGGTATTATTATGCGCAGTTGAGTAGATTTGTATTGTGTCTGCGCAATGTAAATTTTCCTTATTTACTATTATTATTATTATTACTTTAAATGTTGGTCTCTAATTTGTTGCTCCTTTGTTCGGATGAACATCGTGCCGCTTATCTCTGATGATACTAAAATAAAAAAGACGAAACTATCTACCTCATGCTTCTGAAATTGAAACTAAAAATCGGTTTAAACTTCTCGGATTGATTCGAAACTTAAAATATGACAGAAACAGAGGCAATATTCATTTCTGGAAAACCGTTATAGATGACCTTGTTAATTAAAATACAACACAAGACAAAGTTTTAAGGGAACTCCTGAAGGGAAATAACGAATTCAGAGCTTCGATTTGGAGGCCACTGCATGCGATTTCTGAAGGTATTATACACTGATATTGCGTATACCAAAAAAGAAGACACTAAGTCACACACATACGGTTTTAAAAGCGGCAATAATTTATTAACACTGTCCAAAAAGACGGAAGGGAATTTCCAACGTGCTTATTTCTCCTGAGCTAATTTAGAAAATTACTTACTCTGGGGAAACGGCAAATATTCTCAGTGAGTCACTTGTCATGAACGTCTCATATCAAAATTTACGCCTGTCATTCTCTCCGTGCTGGCACACTCTCTTGGCTACGTGCCCAGCTCACAGCTTTTTTTCGTCTTATCGCGCTTATAGAGGGGGGTTTTGGCAAGGCTCATTAAGAGACTGTCTGGGGCGGGTTAAGACAAACCTTAAATCGTGTGGGGGGCGCTTCATAGACGCAGATTCGGTTTAAAGCGGAGGGAGAGCTTCATTGATGACGCAAGAAATCAAACTAGTAAGAGCATCACAATCTCATGTGTTTCCACGAATCGCTCCTTGCACAGTGTCCAACGAAACAGGGACACAAAACAAAAGGGTTAATTCCACTAAGTTGTGTAATATATCTATGACTATAATCATCCGTTTGTCACGAAGTAGAAGTAAAATTCAAATGACGTCTTGATGGTGTTCCTTCAATCATGATTCACCGACCAGTAGGCCTAAAAGGGTATGTCAAACGATTTCAAGCCACGTGCATCTGTAGGCCACCAGAATATACCTCAGGTGTCCTAATGACATTCACATTCAACAGACCTCTCTCATTCAATGTCGTAGTTGTATTTTTGCGTATCAGCGGCCAGCAAAGTATGGACAACCATCAATACAGCAGCAAGTCAATAATTCATGACGTATTAAAATATTTCATGCAGCTAACAAATATCAAATAATTAAGAGTACTAACACCATTTCGAAATGCAACATGAAAATACCAGTGCGGACCAAATGCAGATTTTTTAGGCAAAGCCTATTACCAAACAAAAGGGATATTTCTGCAAAGTTTGGCTGTCCACACGAATAATAGGTGATATAAGAGATGTCCATACCGATTTCTCCACGCCATAACACTGTACACCATGTAACGTCCACTTAGATAAGTCTACGGGAAATAAGGGAACTGGCATTAATTACTACAGAGGCTTTCACGAAAAAAAACTTTTCCTCGGATGACATGTTTCCTGGTAATTGATATCAACCTAGTTGCGTAAACTGATGGTACAGCACGGTAGGTAGTTAAATGCATCCGCGTTTGAGGAAATAACTGGTAATGTCCCATTTCTAATTACAGAAGGGGTAGCGCGCCCTCATACGGAAAAGCGTCTCAGTATAATGGTAAATTCTGGCCATCGATCCATCGCCTACGCAAAAGTATCTACTCATCTATCAAAAGTGGCATCGTCATGCAAAGTCAATATTAACCGCTACTACACCTCATAAATATTCATGAGGAATTCAGAGCGCGTCATTGGCCGATTCCAGCTCGCGTCTGGGAAGGAGAAACGTCATAGCGGTGAGTATCCACCTCGCTGCTGTGCAGTAGTTTTTTTCTGGTAACATCAAAAATCCCTCTGGAACCCGCCGCGTAAATATGTAGTCTGAGTCATGTAATCTTTACGGAACCAGTCTGGAGTTGTATCCTAATAACTATTACAGTAAAGTCCCAGAGCGTATGTCAGCACCAGACTATTACCCTGTTTCTATGCGCATCTGCATTCCATTATCATTACATGGAAATTTAGCAGCTGAGAAACAACAATCGCGTCTGTGAGTACAAGTAACGTGAGATTTCTGTTTATTTAGGGAAAATAGTGGGAATTAGTGCATGGTCCCTCGGTGTAGGTCAGTTCGACTACCTCCCTCCACTTCGCGTCGGGAGGTAGTCAAGCTGACCTATGGGACCAGTAACTCTCACTACTTCCCCTCAAACCATGTAGTCATTTCTATACTACCGTGAGTTTTTTGGTTTGCAAAAAACCTTCATCAGTCTGCTTATTATTTGATTTCCTTTGAGCCACAATGGATGAAACCTGAAACTGCATTTCAATCACAAACAGGTAGATAAATCTTTGAGGCACACACTGACTACATTACTCTAAAAAAAAAAGGACAAATACGATAATAAAATAGAGGATAACAATTCTAGAACTATTTTCATTAAAATACTACCATCTACAAAGATGCATCTATTTAACTTTTAGTTTCTTAGTAGTGGTTCTCCACAAATTCTACCACACAAAACTATTAGCTTACACAAGAGCAAAACTGTAAGTTGCAGCAGTAGATAAAGGTACTGCTCGTTTAAGACTAATTACTTCAGCGCAAAAAACAGTTTCTAAAAGGGAGAAAATCAAATTCTTTTCGGGTCTTACTGATAGTACACGGTGGAGACTTTCCAGAAAGAGTGGGCAGATCTCTTTTCCCATACTTCAGAATTTGTCCCTCCCGTGTAAGCCAACTGTTCGGCGGATCAGGAAGCCTTAACGATGGAAAGCAAATAGACGCCTTTCAGAAATCCACTCGACGCTGCGAGAATTGATAGGATTGCAGGGCGTGATCGGCCGAATGAAGAGGGCCGAAATCAAAATGATCATGGACAAACACACTGGAAAAAAATCAATTCAACTGTGGATTTTGAACTCACCATTCGCTAGATGGGGAGCCAGGGCGAGACCTCGCTTCGATCTTGGGTGTCCCCGTGCAGCTTGAAGTGGTATTTCAACGAGTAATCACCCTAAAATAGAAAGAGACGCCATCGGAGCTTGGTAAGAAGGAGATCAATAAGTAGCTGTAGTCTGCTCAGCTTTGTTCATTTTGCAGGCTTTAAGAGCAACTTCCCACTGCATCCGGTCTCAGATTTCAATAATGACGTATTACAAACAAGCTAAGCAACGACCATTGACAGCGACTTTGACTTCAATGAGTACTATGAAATCGCACGTTGCACATGGGTGCATTTTTGCTTTTTAATTAAATGAAGACTTAATAGCCGTTCCCATGCCCAAGGCGACAACAACCGCGTAATTATTCGTAATAGCCTCGTCTACAGAGAAGACATGTCATTAGTCAAAAGACAAAACATCTCAACGTCGGACAGACAGCTTGATTATGACTCTTTTTATAGAGCGGCGTCGCGAACATTAATAATGTTTCCTGTTCTTGCAAAATTGTAGCGAGCTGCAAGTCGTCGAAATGCACTGTAAGTCATCGAACCACCGGAGTCAATGGTGTCATCGCGTCCAGAACACGTGCACTCGGTCTTGCGTACACGAACCGACGTGTCGCCCTGCCCCCTATGGCCCTCAGGGAGTCTTGGCCATTAACACTGTACAATAGACTGGAAGAAATTGCCGCAGGTGGCTGAATGTTTACCATTTTCATGGTTGCTACTGCTGAGGACACGTGACAGGTTTATTGGCATTCATGTCATGCCGCTCTGGACCACATCCCCTTAAAAGGCTTGTCAGTCAGGCTTCCAGAATCTAAACGGACCCAAAGCTAAGAGGACGGTTTCGGAGTTCAACTGAAAGTTTCTGGCGTGACAGACCGTCCATCAGCCTGTAATTCGCTGAATGATTCCAGATTGACACGAATTCCTGTAACCTTCCCTCCGTTAGAGCACCGACAATACCCACGCAGTATAATTGGACACAATGGCCATGCTGCACACAACTGGTTTACGAGTGCGTGTAACGCGGAGTGCGCATGACCGATTTTCACCTCAATCTGCGCAAATCGGTAATGTCTCCGCGCCGCACGAGAGGGACGCACCTGAATTCCCAGCGACATGCATTCCAAAAGAGAAAATCAACATTTTACCGCCGGGGGCTGAATTTCTGGTTCAAAACCCACAACACGGGTAGAAGAATGATACTAAAGCTGTCGAAGGATAGATGAATCCCGGGTACTGAAAGGGGAAAATAATTCTCCACGACACACGATCCTTTGCAAAGACGCGTTCGCATCCTCATCCAACAATCAATGATTTCCCTAGAGGCGCCGGCGCCTGGATTGAAATATTCGGTTTGCACAACAGGGAAGTGCTGCAGACAATGCGTTATTTCGACAAAAGGTGGACCATGCATGAGGGGGAGGGGGAAATCAACCTTGCGCATCGACATTAAATCTTACAGTATTTTGCTGTCGTTAAAGAGCTGGAGCAATGTTCGACATGATATTTATAATAACAGAAAATGCGAGAAGACACAATCATGCCGGAACAATATGCAAAGCTTAGGGCCAATCACACTGGCGTGAGACGCATGTTCACGTGGGTACTGGACCCCTATGCTTCATCAAATTCATAATGGAGAAAGGCAATGGTTGTAGAAACCTGTTGACTATAGAGTTGTTGTTTTATAAATAATAACAGTGAGTTTCCAAATCTCTATATATCACTTTGGTATGTCTGTATGTCTCTCTCTGTAGGGTCTGTTTTCTTTAAAAATTACAAAGTTACATGATATTCCAGGTTCTATGCTTCTTCTACGTTCCTACAGCGTTTTGTTTCATAAATACCAACTTTTGCCTCGCTCTACCATATCCAATACTGTGCTCTTTCAGACACACAGGTGCATAATGTGTGGGACGAAGGTTCCCCTGTTTGTTTTTCCCCTACATAAGAAAATTCACGCATTTCCCTAAAATAATTTGCGCTCACGTCTGATCGGCGTGCCAGGCAATACGTCACTACAGCAGGGCAAAAACTCACTGGGAAAATTTTTATGAGTACACTGCATGTGTGACAAACAGTACAGTAATGAGTCCCCTGCCGGCGGGGTGAGAGCACAACAACGGTTGCCGTTGGTGTGAAAGCGAAGACACCCGTACCTCTGTGTACTTACACCAGTGGAAGATCATTTACTTTGGTGAGTGGAGTGGACGGGCGATGACTTCATCAGGCACTTTTGTTGGAAGTTCGATATTCCTGTAATGTGGGGTCGTCCCCTCTTATAAAATGAGACAAGCAACAGGCATAAAACGGTCGGACGGTTTTCCACGGCTTATTGATTTTCCCAAACGTACACCTTAATTTAGCAGCTAGTGCTCGCTGCCACAAGCGATTCAGTTAAACCAACTGGACTACTCATCTGCCAAACAAGACGCTATAGGTGCAGTGCTTGGAGCCTTGAAAAAAAAAGAGGGACTGAAAGCAAGATTTTGTAGCCCGAGAACTGAGAATTATGCCAGTCATATCACGTTCAGAATCTTTCGTGTAAAAAAAAACGGCCGCATCACAACGATGCTAACTATAGGTCTTCCTTGGCATCCTTATTCTACCTCTGTTGCACGCTCGCATAATTTGGTCCTCGTGTTTTAAAGTCGCACGCAGTGACCCCTACGCCGCACTGTATGTTGGGAAAAGATTTACGGACAGCCACGCGTGCAAAGTTTGCCGTTCCAATGATTGCTACAGTAAACCTTTCAAGGAAAAAAATCATGGGGTAATTTCAAAAGGCCTCGCGCTCTAAGAGACTGAGGGTGGCAATTTCAAACTATGACCCCGTCATCACAGGACCTACGGTCGGTTAAATTACTTGAGAGGGCAATCAGCACTGATTAAAAGCTATAGTTGTACTGATCGCGGGAGGGGGGTGGGATCGGACAGCGCATTCTTGGTGACGTGAGGTGCCCTGCCTACAGCCTTTTAAATACAAACATCAAGGCATCTTAGCTGAGTCTGGGCATCTCAATCAAGTCCAGGTGTCCCAGATACAATCAAGTATAAAGAATGAGCACCGTTTTCCCCCAAGCGCTCCCTTTGCTGACTATAGAGAGAAATAATTACTCCCGGATGATGACCCTTTCCGTTAAAGCCTGGAAACTTGGTATTAGCGACGGGAATGCCAAAGTGACAATTTCTTTCCATTCTTTTCATTATGGTGTTTAATTTAAAACATCGTGCTTGACCATTTTGACGTTCTTCCATAAGCAAAACACCCGCGGGGCAGACATCTCGATAACTGCATTCTGCGTTTTCACGAAGCGACGCAACCATGTCTGCCCTTGACACGTACAAAACGTACTGAAAGAAAAGGCCCACAAATTGAGATTTTCGTTTTTCACGAGGAGAAGGCACGTGACTGCACGCGTGTAAACATGATCACCTGCCGAGGAGTTCCATATCGAAACACACATTAAACAGAAGAGTCAGAATCTGGCGAAAAGGCTTTTTTCGTTTTCACGAAAGGGACGCGCATCTTTCCTAATTAATTCCTGCTAATGAACCACTGTTCATCCCCTCAGCACTGGGCTCGTGTAAAAGTTCACCTTTAAAAATACTAAACATGCAAAGGCTTCTTTACTACATAAAGGTGTTGCGAAGTAGTGGTTTTTGCAGTTTTAAAATAGAAGAAACTTCTCTTGTCGTTACCTTCAATACCGGTACCAATTTGTCTTCCAAATCCACGTGTGTCTGCTTGTGAAATTGTGACAAACTTTAAATTAAAAATAGCTAAGGGGTAGTGGGAGGAAGTCAAACAATAGGGATTTGAACGATACCTTTTAACTTATTAAACAGACAAAGCAATAATTTTTCTCCATATACACTTCTGAAATCCTACTTCTTAACTCAGCGAAAAATCTGTTACCATCCCCTTTCTAATACATAGCAGAAATCTTACTTTCTCGTCTCTACAAAAAGACATTCATTCATCATTGGGATTTATGTCGTGGCATTATTTATGCAGCCCGTGTGCTTCTGCAGAAACTCTCAAGTAGTATAAAACGGTAAGAAATATAACGTTTCCGTTGAATTCAAACAAATGGGACCTATGTCAAAACAAAGAGGCCTTCCAACAACTCTTGCAACAGCACGGACACTCTGTTGAAGAATATGGATCGCCTCGGGAAAAAAGGGGAGGAGTCCGCCCACGAGTAGGCCACGCGTTTCTGGGAAGAGATCAATACAGAATGGTGTCTTGAAGGTCGGCGTGCAAGATCAACCATCCCCACTACAAGTGGTGTGTGACAATCCTCTTACCGAGGCGGAGGGATCAACTCACAAAAAACCCTTAATCTGTCTGGGGTACAGCCTATTAATTCAGCGAGGTGAAGACGTACGTGCAAAATAATCTACTTGGCCCGACGGCGCTTCGCAGAGAGGAAACGGGAAACAGAAGGTGACGGGAGAAACGGAATGACACTTGCCCGCCGATAAAAATGGAGATGCCCATCAGCAATCAGGGATCACTCGGGAAGCAGACAAGACTCGACGAGGAGAAAAATGGAGAGACTTAGCCGCGCTCGCCGGGGGAGGTGGATGACAGGCCTCCGGGCAGCGCATAAAAACGACCCAGGCTGTCACTTCCTTGCCAGTCCCCAGTGCAAGGCGTGCAGAGATGGCCAGGAAATTCGTCCCAAATGAAAAATTATTTATTGACTAGTGCGGCCGCGTTCGACAGCACCGCAGCACATGCAAATTTCACCGGAGGGATGAGAGCGACCGGGTAAAACGAAGACGACCCGTTAATACCTCACGGGGTAGACCGCTCGGAGCTGAAATGATAAATGTTTAACAACAACGTGATGCGATGAAGATGCGGGGGAGACAAGGGGAAATGAGGTGATAAGGAAGAGGAGAAAGCAGGCTATGGAAAAGAACAGGGAAAAGGCAAGGTTATCGGTGCGAAAAGTGAGCCGTGCCACAATGACAAATAGATATGCATTTTCACCAGACAGTTAAACCAAACAACATCAACATCCAAGAACAAGAAAGGCATCTAGTGAAAAGGA